TATAATACATGTGCATAAATATGATTTGCACAGAAAAAGTAGAACAATATAAGAAAAATATGTTATCTGTGTTACTGAACTTTACGTATTCTATATAAAATAGAATAGAATAGGACCTCAATTGTAGATCCCCTTCAAGCAATTCGACAGAAGACATAAAGCGACGTAAACTTAGCTGATTGCCACAGATTTTATATTATTGCGCGATAACGTGACAATAGCGAAAAGGAATACGAATTTCAATGATTTTATAGACAAATTAGGAAAGACTAGTATTTTATGACGTATCGTGCCGGTGTGTTTCCCGTTATCGACTTGTAGATTCCAATTATACGACGCATAACGATAAAATATAGCGTCCACTACGACTTCTTTATGTTGACGTAGCACGACATTCGTGATCGTATTCCGCTATATATATTCCGCGAATCGATCTTCAGTCGTAACGTTGCATTTAATGCACCGTTTGATTACGTCGCTTCGAGTCTACGTCTATTACATCAAGAGTGCACTCGAGGTCGATCGCCCCGATATGAACCCGCGTAAACGTGAGATATAACGATGCCATTGAAACTGAAGAGCAATTAACGCGCGAAACCGAGTATGGAAACTACATGAAAATATTTCCTAGTGTCATTCAGCATTCTGCAAAATTTTAATCCTGTTACAAATTTATTTGTAATATTTGCGATAAGCCGACTAGAATATTAACAAAACGAACGATAATTATATACAAATGTGAGGAAATATGTATCCATTTTAATCGATCTATTACACGAACGTTGTTCGTGAATTACTGTTATGCCATGACACAGCAAGTGATCTTTACATGAGATGAGCCTCTTACGGCATAGGATCGGAGACCAATCGAACAACTAACCAACCAACCCAACCCCGAATGATCACTCGACGCACCGTCGGAGCACTCTGCACCCTCCACTCGACGCGTTCTACTCACTTTACGTCGGCACGTAGAGAGACGACGCCATGCAACTATGTGGTGCGCACATGCGGACGGATGGATGAACGGACGCACATCGCATTGAGAAGAGCGAGAGAGTGAAAGCTGTGGAGGCAGGACGACATGCGTCTCGTCTGCATCGTTCCTCTTCTACCCCTTTTGCTCCTCATTTTCTTTTTTGTACCCTTGTCTACCGGAAGAGAAAGAGAGGAAGAAAGGAACAAGCAGAAGAGAGAGAGAGAGAGAGAGAGAGAAAGAAAGAGATAGCCAACAAACCCCTCAGATGAGCGTTCTCGCGCTCTGTAGTCAAGGGCAAGGGTGCTGTCGCCGAGAGTCTACCGTGTCGAATAGTTTCCGTACGATGAAGCCATACAACAATCAGAAGAGGAAGAGAGAGAGAGAGAGAGAGAGAGAGAGAGAGAGAGAGAAAGAGAAAGAGGATGGGGGTTGGACACCTCGCTTCGGCGCGAAAAATCTCGGATTTTTTCCTAGCAAACTTCAAACGAATCCATCTACTTGATCCCAAAAGGGTTCGCCGTATAGCCACGAAAGTCTCCTTCGCCTCAAAGAAGCGGGCGATGGTGCAAATAGAAGAGCGCTGAGTTTAGCAGAATGTCTATAGTCCGGCATCGTTGAGATTTATCGATCGCACCGTAATTCTAAAGAAGACAATGCTGAGAAAGTAGCTACCATTGACGGGTCACGAAGAGGGTATAATCTGAATTAGAGATGGATATGTGATAATCAAGTATCCATGTTCCTTGCGAGTGCATGGTGCATTACTGAAGTTGCTGGGAGTATCCAAATGGGAAAGTAGAACGATCTGATAGAGCGTTAATATACTCTTTCATATAGTCGGAATTATTTTTTTTCACATATAATGAAAATACTCTTATACATAAATGATGTAAAAGGAAGGTTTCTTATTTGAAAAATTACGAGAGTAGTTTATATTCATTTCTCTCAATTATTCTTTTCTATTGTAACGATAATAACTCTGCTCATTATATTCCGTTTTTCGCGAAGATAAAGTTATTTTTAAATTATACCGTGCTATCGATTGAAAAAGAAAGGACATAACTTTCGGCACGTTCGGAAGACCGACACCTTCATTGCTTCGTATAATTATCTTGAAAATTGCTGGGATGACGTCAGCGATCTTCGTAGCGAGGTTCTTTTGTTTTAATCCATCTCGTGTCTCTGCCGCAATTAAAATCTGATCCGTTGAAAAACAAAGTTAAATAACGATGTAGTATGTAAGTGATACCACGTCGATGGTAGCAAGGAGTGTCAACCTCTCACAAAAGAGAAGAATGTGCAAAAGAAGATGAATGGCAATACTTAAGAGAGCAGATGACAGAAAAAGTGATTGATGAGGATAGAGAAAGACTTATGCAGGAATGATTTTATAAAGAGATTTTATATTTTTTATAAATATAAATTTCTTTTTTGGAAATTCTCTTAAAAAGGAAAATTCTAAAAAACCGATTAGAAAAAATTATTATTGTTGTATTATTTTGTTTCCGCCGTTTATTTAAAATCGATAAATGCTTAAAAATATCGTATGGAAAACACGATATATTCACTCAAAAAAAATATTCTACCGTTTTTTTTTTAGCGGTTCTGTGTTAACATCAGAGGATTTTCCATTTAGGTACAACCTCAAAAAGATACTCCACAAAGTAGAAAAATTTCGTATAACCATAAGGTGCTGGATTTAAGATTGCAATTCTCTCTTAATGCTAAAAGAATGTCTTGCATGACTGACATGCGCGTATAGTTACGATATCACGTAAATGACAAACTTTTTCTAACAAAAAAGCGTACCGCTAGTATCTTGTATATCCTTTTATTTCAAAGGCTATTCGAGTTATTATAATAGAATTTTCCATAGAGGAATTTATTTTTGATCATAGCTCATGTGTCCTCATTTTTATAGATGAATACGTTATAAATACACGCGCCTGATTCATGTAAGATTTTTTGCTTAGAAGAAATGCTAAGAGGAATTCCCTGCCTATCGGCAGAATATCTTTTTTGGGTGTTCTTTCATAATAATGACATAATAACTCAGATTTATTACAATAGCGTCCGAATATTATTTGACTTTAAGTAAAAATATCCCAAGAATATATAGGTTTTTTAGACATCAAGAAGAATTTAAGAATTAATTCTTCTCACGGCAACTTGCGTGGAAATACAAGTAATCAGATTCAAGTATCGTCTATCATGGATTATAAAGTTTCAAATTCTCAAAGTTTATTGGCACGTCCAGTTTCCAGTATACGGTACGTCTATTAGGAGGAAAACTTTATTGAACTTTTGCGGTAGAGCCAGGTGTGGTGAATCGTCCGTTTTCCTACAAAGATGATTACGCGAACGAGCTGACCAAGGTTTACACCTGGATTTTCTAAAAACTTGACCTACTACTATGGTGCTAAAATGGCACGACGACATTTTTCGAGATGGCATCGCGGCGACAAGTACGCCCACTCAGCACTGCTTCACACACACAATGGCTCTAAAAAGACAGCTTTTTGCTAAAAGAAAAAGCTATTCTGGCTGCGAAGTTAGCTTAGTTCGCGCCCTTTTCATCTCGAATTTTTGAAAGTGTGAAAAATGACACTTTAAATTTCTAATCTATCTTAGATAACGTCTTTTTTTTTAACTACGACTACCTAAGAAGATAAATGCCCGAACTAAAACAAAAGATTTGAATGATTTTTAGCAGGTTTTTTATTTTTCAAAATAGTCCCTTTCAACTCGATACACTTATTCCAACGATATTCTAACTTTTTATGCCGTCTGTGTAATGCGATTTCTTTAAGCTTTCAAAGTAAGCGTTAGTTTCATCGATTATACTTCAGTATTTGAGGCCGATCTTTTTCCTGCCAGCCATTTCTTTATGTTTGGAAAGAAAAAAATTGAAGTCTAAATCTGGTGAATACGGTGCGTACGAAATCAATTCGAAACGCTATTCATGCAATTTTGCGACTGCGATTGAAGAAGTGTGAGTAGATGCATTGTCATGATGGAATCAAAAGTTGGTTGCTTTATACTACCGAAACAAAACTAATGAATGCATTTGTCAAACTTTAACAGTAGCTCTGTGCAAGATCAAACTTGTCTAAAATTATAGCAGTGTTTGATATGTATAGCGTCATTTCTGTGTTAGGTCGAGAATTTTTCGAATTACCTTCGTATTTACCTATAAAATAGAGCTTATCTATACATATATATATAA